GCAGCAGGAAGGCCACAGGGCAAAGCCGGAGGTGGAAGACAACAACATTGAATCTAAATTTAAAAAACATAATTTTATGAGCAGTGTGTTAGATATACTTACTTCATTGAGAAGAATAAATTGGGCAAGAACAAAAATAGCGTATTTAGACATGTTGATAGAATTAGAGAACTTGAAAGAACTGATGAAGTTTTTAGCTCTTCAGAATTTATAGTACGATTGCTTCATTATTTTGATGAGATTCATATTGATAAAAGTACCTATATTTTTAATAAAATCAATTTTTGGCGATAAGCACTGATAGGTACGTGCTTTAATGTTATTTTTTTAATAACAATAATTACTAGACGTACCTATACATTTATATAGATAAGTATAGACTCGCACTTGTGTATAGAGATTAAAGAAAGTATAAATGCGTTCCTACATTTTTTCATAAATTATAGTTGGTAATTAATTATTGTCAGTTAATGATGAAAATGCATTGCATAGTTTGATATTTCAGATATTAAACACGAGAAGATTATTTTGTAGAAAATTTTAGATATTGTTTAATTTTGAACATAACTATTTCTTTTGTAACAGGTACCGATAATGAAAAAAAAACATTAATGAATTAACGTAAAGATTGCTGTAAAAGTAATAAGCCGTATGAAATCGGCCATTAAAATGATGTTAAAAAACAATCATTTAAAATTTTCGACAMTCATTTAAAAATTTAATGCATTGATGCAATTCGTTCTTTTGCGGTCGGCCCTTATAATATAAGYTAATAACGTAAGAAGCCAATCACTTTAAATTTTAAAATACTCGTAATTCAGAAATGTAGCAAAAAGTGTATGTGTGCCTCTTTTGCGGCCTTTGTTWAAAGTATTGTGAGAATTTTGACGGAGAATCTCAAACTTTAAATTAGAAATAAGAWTTTAGAGTTTTRTCTATTCCGTGTGCTTATAATCACAACATAAAGTGACTACAAAAATACGAAAATACATTTTTTTGTCATATCTGAACATTTTAATACAAGAAGTGAAACATAAGCTCAGTTTTTTGGAGAGAGAAAAAAAGACTGTTTTTAACAATCTGCAGAAGCTTACAGCATAATTTGCAATCTGCCACCAACAATTCGACACGATCCCTTTTGGAATTWAGGTAGGATGGTGCAGAGGAGACAAACAAATGTTTTTTAAAGAGTACGTTATTGTTAGCGGATATGTCAAAGAGTATTTAAGATACAAAAAATAAACAAAACCAAAAGTTTTTAGAAAATTTTATAAACGTTAATTTTGTATCTACTATTATCTTCGTGATACGCACCGCACCGCACCGTTTTCGAAATATAAGCAAGAAATCATAAAAGGGCATCTTCTTGGTCTCTTTTTGGGCTCACTTTGACGAACCAGAAACTTTTAGTAAGATTACCTAACTAGTCCATACACAATCCTAAAGTCAAAAATTTTGTCCCCGACTATGTATTCTACAAAATCAAGAACATGCTACCAAAGATTTTTTCAATTTTGACTTGTTCTGTAATTTCNAAAAAAAAACATAATTTTACGAGCAGTGTGTTAAATAATACTTACTTCGTTGAGAAGAATAAACTGAGCAAGTACAAAAATAGCGTATTTAGACATGTTGATAGAATTAGAGAACTTGAAAGAACTGATGAAGTTTTTAGCTCTTTAGAATTTATAGTACGATTGCTTAATTATTTTGATGAAATTCAAATTGATAAAAGTACCTATATTTTTAATAAAATCAATTTTTGGCGATAAGCACTGATAGGTACGTGTTTTAATGTTAATTTTTTAATAAGAATTCCTACACGTACCTATACATTTTTCTATACTTGCACTTGCGTATAGAGATTAAAGATGTTATAAATGCGTTCTTACATTTTTTCATAAATTATAGTTGGTAATTAATTATTGTCAGTTAATAAAAATGCATTGCATAGCTTGATATTTCAGATATTAAACCTTCGGAGATCAGTTTGTAGAAAATTTTAGATATTGTTTAATTTTAAACATAACTATTTCTTTTGTAACAGGTACCAATAATAAAAAAAAAACAATAATGAATTAACGTAAAAGTAGTAAGCATGCTGATTGGGCCGTATGAGATCAGCCATTATAATAATGTAAAAAACCAATCATTTTAAATTTTCGACATTCATTTAAAAAATGCAAAGATGCAATTCGTCCTTTTGCGGTCGACCCATATAATAATGTAAGAAGCCAATCACTTTAGATTTTAAAATAATTCAGAAATGTAGCAAAAAGTGTTGTGAGTGCATCTTTTGCGGCCTTTGTTGAGAGTACTATGAAAATTTTGACGGAGAGCCTCAAACTTTAAATTAGAAGTAGGGTTTTAGTTTTTTATCTATCCCATGTGGTTATAAACACAACATAAAGACCCTAAAGTGACCACAAAAATACGGAAATAAAAATTCTTATCAAAGCTGAACATTTTTATGCATGAAGTGAAACATAAGCTCAGTTTCTTAGAGGGAAGGATAAAAGACTGTTTTTTACAAGCTGCATAAGCCTACAGCATAATTTGCAAGCTGCCGCCAACAATTCGTCACAACCCCTTTTGGAATTTAGGTATCATGATGCAGAGTAAGACAAAGAATGTTTTTTAAAGAGTACGTTATTGTTAGCGGATATCTCCAAAGAGTATTTAAGATACAAAAAAACAACAAAACCAAATTTTGTAGAAAATTTTATAAACGTTAATTTTGTACTATTATCTTCGAGATATAAGCAAGAAATCATAAAAGGGCATCTTCTTGGTTTCTTTCTGGGCTCACTTTGAAGAACCAGGAACTTTTAGTAAGATTACCTAACTAGTCCAAACACAGCCCTTAAGTCAAAAATTTTGTTCC